GGACTGGATACCCTAAAGACGAGATCTGTTCCATTGGTCCTCTGGTCTTCACTGTGTATGTTTTATAGTGTGCCACTCTCGCAACTTCCACCGGGAAAACCATAGGCTGGGGTGGGAGCAAAAATAGCTTGGGGCCTTGGGAAACTGACCAGGGCAGGGGGAGAGAGGCAGTGGCCTGGGGCGGGAGGCCCAAAGGGGTGTGGCAAATTCCATTCCAGTGCAGGCCAGTGTCAGGGTCCACAGGGTCGAGCCAAGGGGTGGGGAGGGGCAGAGTATTAAGGCTTCTGGGTGGCCTTGTTCTAAATCAGGCAAAAAGAATAAGACGAAGGAGGAATCCAGAAATCTGAGTCCAGCTCTAGGAAATGGATCAGCTACAGGCACCAGGCGGGCTCAGGACTTGGCTCCTGTCTCTGTGAGGAAATGGAAGGGGAATTGAGTTCCAGAGACCCCAGCAAGAATAGTCAGGGGACTTGTTATGCCTAGAGGGCCTTGGCTAGGGAGCTGGCAGCTCCACAGGTGCCCAGGGTATCCCAAACCATAGTGTACTGGCCCTGAGCTATTCCCAGACCCCACCTCTCAGTGGGACAGGTGGTCTGTGCATCACAGCGTTGACTGGGGACCTGAGCAAGGCTGACCCAGTGAGGCCTCATGATGGGAGGTGATGGAGGTTACGAGGAGGCAGGAAAGGTCCAGTGCTGCATGCAGGTGGGTGAGTGAAGACTTCATCATGCATGAGGCCAGGAAGGTAAGGGGCGACACGCTTCTTGATGAAGGCATGAAAGGGCATAGGATTGGGTCTATCAGAAGGTTCTTAACCTAGTTTACCAATATTTTACTGAGTACCTATTGTGTGCTGGGCACTGTGCTAGGTACCAGAAATGCAAAGATACCCGAGCGGTGTCTGCTCCTGGGGAGGGAGTACGTATGAGGAGAGGAAAAAGTGTGGGACTGGAGACAGATCCACAACTCTGAGAGCCTCAGGCTCCTATCTTCAAAGCAGTAGGACACTCACAGGCTAGGTGTGAAAATTAAATAAAATAAAACTTGCACAACACTTGGCACAGCAGCTGGCACCCTAATAAGTGATCAATACATTTAGTTTACTTCCACTGTTCCACTTTTGGAGGAGCTCACAGTCTGAGGCAGCAGAGAAGCCTGGGAGAAATGCATTCTAATTCCCAGGACCATCAATTGCTAACAGGGCTTGAGACTTGGGCAGTGAAACCTGGTTATCAGGTTTCCTCTGGCTGTGGATAGTGTGGTTTAAGGTGGATCTGAGTACACAGAACTGGTCCTATACTCCGTGTGCGTGGTCTGGCTGGGTCTGGGGATTCTGTATGGACACTGAGTATGGGCGAGAAGACTGGGTCCAGGAATTTCCAGAAGTGTTCGAAAGACAGGCCATTCTCAGAATGCTTGAGAGGCTTGCCTCGTTGGCTTCTAGTGCTGTTCTGCGGAGTGGGGCAAGGTGAGGTGGGAAAGGAAACCCAGGCAAGACTTGGCACCTGGAATAGGGCTGCTCAGGAGAGGCTGAGCACAAAACACACGTATTATTTTTAATGTTCTAGTAGCCACCTTAAAAAAGGTAAACATAGTAAGTGAAATTATTTGTAATAATGTGTTTCATTGAACTCAACATGGTCAAAGTATTATCCTTGCAACATGTAATCAATATAAAAATCATTAATGAGATAGTTTAGATTCATCTCTGAAGTCCAGAGTATATTTGACGCTGACTGTACATCTCAGTTTGGAGCAGCCACATTTCAAGTGTTTAGTAGCTCCATGTGGCTAGTGGCTCCTGTATTGGACAGCTCAGGTCCAGAATCTAGACTAGAATCTAGAATATCGTGCCAAGGGGGGTACCCAGAGCTGGGTGAATCTTGAACTAAACAACAGGATGTACTACTACTTCCTCTTCTTATGATTCATCTGGAATGAATCCCTGGGTAAATTGGCTTGAATGATTAGAGATGCATTGACTCACGTGCTCTAGATGGTGACATATGTTCTCTGGAACCAGCGCTGGCGTCACATCTCACCAGCTGGGCTCAGAGCACCACCACCTGTGCTGGTTCTGGGGCTGACCTCAGGCAGTTCCTGAAACTCTCTGAGCCTTGGAAGCTTCATTAAAGTGGGACTAATAATTTCTATTGGGTAACTATCAGGACTAAATCAATTAATGAATAATTGCTCTGTGACATTTGATGTCAAGAAATAATCCTTTTATTTTCCTGAATCAGATGAAGACTCATTTGAGTTTCCCTACTGGCTAAGTTTGGTAAAATTTTCCTACCAGGCATTTCTATTGCTCTGTCTCCATCCTTCTGTTGTATGAGAGCGGTGGGGCTTTTCATGTCAGGACAGATGGGGAAGGGACGGGGCTTAGAGCTTGGCCCAGCGTAGTGACAGCTGCCTGTGGCCCCTCCCCATCCAGACCTGGCCATCTGGAGGAGCCAAGCCCTGCAGGCAGCATGTGCCCCTATGTCATCTCTGCCATAGGGAACATTGGAACCCACAGGCCCTCACCTCTAAGGCGGGACACTGCCAGGGCACTGCCCTCCTGTGGAGTGGGGTTCGTCAGCCACTCCAGGTTTGCTACCTAAGCCATCCCAGGTACCTTGGCACCCAGCCCAGGGAACCTACTCCAAAAGCTGTAGGTCTTTCAACCCACTTTCTTCTGTCTCCCACCCTCAGCCTTTGTAATAAAGGCCCCTCCTTACCCTACCTGCCCCCTTTCCTTCCCTGGTCATAACAATGCCGGCAACTCCACCTTAGGGCCGGGGAGCCCATTGTTACAGAATATGGGTGCTCTTTCTGGGAGTGGAGGAGTACATTTTTTATTATTCTCTGAATGACAGCTGCTTTAGCCACTGGCCCCCAACAACAGCAGAAAACAGTAATTGCCGTGTACATTCATTCACATAGGCACAGGGTCAGCACTCTATAAAATCAAGTTCTCCTATGCCCAGCCACCCTGGAGAATGAATTACATAATTTCCACCTTCTGGGGTTTTTCTGAGACTCAGATGAGATAGGGTATGTGAAAATCTTTGTAAAGTTATAAAATGTTATTGAGAATCTTAATTCCCTCCCTGGGCTGTTTTCTGGTCTGGGCCCTGGGTCGATTCGCACTGTGCCCTTCTGCTCAGCATCACATGGCGGGTGGCCCACCAGAACTGTCCGCTCACCAGGAGGCTCGGCTGTGTGCTCCCAAGTGCTGCTCCCCAAGAGGCAGCCTCGGAATCAGCCCCTGGCTTCCTGTTCTCTGGGAGAGAGGAAGGACCTGTTTCAGTGGCAGCAGTGTTTTCCTAACATCTGAGTTTGGAGTCCACCCAGATTATCATTAAAGTTCATAATTTGTCCTTCTGGGCCTAAGGGAAGCGAAACAGCCATCTAAGGAGCCTCCATAGGTCCTTTTCTCTTACCTGGCCTGGGTTCGGTGAGGATTCTGTGATGGGGGAGGAGGTTTGACGGGAA